AGACAAGAGGAGAAAGACAGTGGTTAGGGTCAGGCAACCCCTCTAAGTTTCACAGCTGTTAGGGGCTGGAAGGGACCTTACAGTTAATCAGGTCCAGTCTCCCCTGCACTTGGGCGGGAAACTGGCAGAGTGTTCTTTACATTCAAGAGAGATCAGACCCAAAAATAAGCAGGAGGGCTCTGCACTGTTGAAAAAAGACTAATGGGATCGTAGATAACTAGTCTGTTTCTGTCTTCATCTCCAAGTAGAAGGTCTGCGGCAGAAAAAGGACACCAACACCATGAACCTGCAAATCAGGAGACATGAGGTGGTAGCCTAGAGCTACATCTCTTCTCCCTTAGAAGAGTTTCCATAGAACTAGTAAAAGGCAAAATGATAAGTGTAATCCCAAATCATAGTGATTCTCAGGATTTGAAGAAAGTGTTTGGTGAGGAGGTCTCCACCTCCCACTGGCAGCACAAAAGGGCCTCAAATTGGAGATGGTTCCACAACTGGAATCAGAGCGGGTGCTACTGAAGGATCTACAATCACAGTCCACAGAGAGTCCAGTTCTGTCTGGATCACCAAGCTGTTCAGTACTATGAATTGAACCATCTGGAGGTCATGAGACTAGCAGGAGCCCATTGTAGTGCACTATCCCTCAGTCGAGGAACAAGTTTCACTGCAAAAGTTCTCAATCAGATCCACGATAACTAGGTAGCAAAAGGGAAGCTAAGCAGTACCATGGGCCCTTACCCTTGCATTTACAAGATACCATAGAAGTGGACAGTGCCAATCCTTGTCAGGATCCACACTGGGACACAAACAGGAAGGATGAGGAACTAGTGAAAAGAGTTTCCTTAAGGTACCCTGGAGCAGGAATTTCTCTCTAGGGCCACTGACAGACATTAAAAAAGACAGAATTTTGCATGGCAAGAGGTGTGAGTCTAATATTGAGCATCAGATCCCATAATACCATTTTGCTGGTGCAGGGGGAATCTGGGATCACAATCTCAGGCTCCCCCTGCACCAGCAATTTTCACTCCTGTGGTTGGGAGCTTTATCATCAGTTGATCAGAGTTCCCTGCCCTGGGGATGCACTGTGCATGCTCCAATCAGCTGACAGAACTCCCATTGTGCTCCCCCAGCTAGGAGCCCCAATCAGCTTCCAGTCTTTGAAGCACATGGAAGGCATTCCCCAGAGACGAGGAGCACTGTCCACATGTTCAATTAAAGGCACAATAGGAACCAGCTACAAAGTTATTACACATATTTTGTGTAATAACTTTGTCAGGTCTTCCTGGTTTTATCACACCATTAACTAAATAAACCTGTGGCTAGGTCACTAAAGATGACTTAACCAGGAAATTGCATCTTAGGTATGATGTGTCAAGAGTCTGCACAGCAGCTAGGTTAATTAACCCCTAGCTAGCTCTGGTTACCCAAGTCGGCTTGGCTGCCAGCAACCTATTTCCAGATGGTTCTAACTACCTGTACAGGCATGGCTACCTGCTTAGAAGCAGCAGCCCTTTCAGCACCCAGAAGGCTAAACAGGCTGGCCCTTGCCCATTGGTTCCTAGTTCCTGCCTTCTGTCCAGGTCCCTGTTTCCTCACTGGTGGTTTGTGACCCCCACCCCCCACTACCTCATGGCTGCAGTCTGAATCCCTCCTTCTGGCTCCTGACCTGTAGCTTGTAACTCTCCAGTGCCAAGCTGCAGATGCCTGGTAATTTACTTGACATTCGATCTGTGCTCACTGGAGTAGAACTTCTGTACTATTGATGACAAGGATGTGTTGCAGAAACTGCCTAGGGAGAGAGCCCTAGCAGTCAGGCAGGAACCCCACAGGTGCAGGTTACTGTGGAGGCAGGCCTAAGGAGGGAATTAGCCTTCACCTGCAGCTGGTCAGCTGACTGGAAGAGGCAGGGTCCTGGGCACATATAAACCGCAGGGCTGGGACTAGAGAGGCAGTTCCCTGTCAGCAGTCAAAGAGGACGGAGCCTCTAGGGAGGAATTGCCCAGAGATGCTGCAGCTGCCCAATATGCTGCACTTGGGACTAATGGGGCTCCAGGAGCTCACCAGGTACCCTTGCCTACAAGGTACTTAGTGCCAGGGTAGAAGTTTAATTCTTTTAAAGGGGCAGAGCACACCCTGAACTTTTTGTGTTATGTTATAGCCCAGGGGTTTATGTTGTGGTTGCTGTCTTATAAGACCAGAGGATCAGGCTTAGGCTATTGGGAAAGGAGGAGGCCTCGTTGGGGGCTCACTATAGTGTGGGGACCCCAGCACCAGTGTGGGCACAGTATTTGGGGTGCACAGACCCCCAGTGCCAAGGGGCGCCGAGAGAGACAGGGCTGCAGAGAGCCTGGTAATGACTGTAGGCCAAGGTGAACTAAGGCCTTGGAGAGACAACGTGTGAATGCCATCTGTGAGGCCTGGGGCATGGTAAAAGGGTGGCTTGGAGCCACGCAACTAGCCCATAAGGCTGAGGGTGTCCCGGGAGGCATTCATTTTGGAGCAGAACCCAAAAGGGGTTAAGGAACTCACAGGGTTCAGTGGGGCCCATCAGGACCATGCCCAAAATACAACTTGAGGGCATCCTCCCTATTTACTATAGCACACCAAAACATGGCAGACAAGAAAGAGGGTGCCTGTTGGGCAACAGTGACATGGTCAAGGAGCTCTAGGGGTATCACGGCCATCCCTGAGGACCCCATTCCGTGACAGGATGGTCTTCTCAAGAGGGACCATGCAGCCCTGTATCATTAGCATCCAACTCAGTCCTACACTCCAGATATTAGAGGGTGACCATATAGTTTACCTAGAAGATAACCTGGAAACTAGCTTTGCCCTCCTTCCTGGTGAACAACTTAAAACACTACATTTCCCAAGGATAGGGATTCCCTAATAAAAAGAGACACTTAGAAAGTTTGCCTGAAGCAGGCATAGCCTTGCTGCAGGAGGAACATAGCTACATAGCTTAAATCCAAGTGGCCTGGAAGAAACTCTGGCAAGTCAAAGGAAAGGTCTGGCCAAAGTGTGGTGGGCGAAAGGGGAAGAAAATGAAACTTCATATATTATCTTGCTGGGATCCTATGATCCCAGCTGACTTCCTGCCCCTGAGGCAGGGGGTTAGACTCAATGATCCTCTGGGGTCCCTTCCAGCCCAGAAGTCTATGAAACTCACTTAGCTATAAGAGCCACATAGGAGACTTAATGTCTCACTAAAATAAATATTGAAGACCAGGAAAAAGTGAGAACAACAACTACCCCCCCCTTCCTACTCCTTGAAGAAATGAGAAGAAGAAGTAGTAAAAAGGGGTGGGGAAGGTACTGAGAACAGCTTCATGTAAAATGCTGTCTGGGTTAGCCAAGAGAATATCTCATCTCAAGACTGCCTGCCCCAAGACAGATGAGAGGAACTGAGAAACCAGAATCACATATTGCCCTTTATACACTAGATCCATGCTGTATGGATATTGGAAGGACTCCAGACTTGAACATTTGAGACATGTGAACACCCGAAGTAAAAATGAGTACGAACAAGCGTTTAAAAATAAAAACTTAGGTTACATAACCCAATAATACCAAAGTAAAGTTAGAAAATATGCATCCTGATTTACTTCACACACAGGATTAATTATTTCACAAAGAAAAATTACAATCAGATAAACACCCTATGCAACTGATAGTCTCTCTACAATTCAAGCGTACTGCATAATATTAGAGAATGGGAAGAATCAGTAAAGAAACTCACGTATCTGATATCATGACTGAATTAAGGACTTCATACCTTACTTTGTATTCAGTACTTTTTTCCATTTTAGCACCTGTGGTTTCTGTAAGATTCCTTTTTCTCTCTACCCCTTTCTGAGTTCCACAAAGCTTTCACTTTTTCTTTTATCCTTTTCTGTTTTTCCTCTGTGTGATTTTGGTGACTTCATCTACTCATACAACTTAACATCTCTACATTGATGATTAACAGATAACGTTCTCCAGACTTGATATTTCCCCTTTTTCTCTAGTTCTGCATCACAACTGCTCTCCCTGACATCTTTCTGGAGGTCTTGATAAAACTTGTGTTTAACATACCTAAAATTAATCTTTTTTCTTTCTGCATACACCCAAACATTGTTCCCCACAACATTTATAGTTTGTTTCTACACTATACAATAAAAATCAATCCTTTCCTTCAATCCATCTGGGCCAGTAAAATGCTCATTCACGCCCATCGCTGTTTATCTTTACCACTACAACTATGCTACATCACACACACACACTCTCACTCTCTCTTAGTGCCATCATTCTGACTCGACAAATTCAGGCATAAAAAGTCATGCAAACAAGAACAGAAAGCTAAAGACGAGACAGGTGCTTTAGAAGCTAAATTAGTTTTCCCTAAATCTTTTTTCTGTTTAATTCCTGCCCTGAAAGGACCTAGCTTCTTTTATCTTTTGACAGAATTGAACATAAAAAATATGCAAAGTTCTATCGAAATAAAATAACTCCCCCACACACAAAACCTTATTAATAACTAAATAAACTTAAACATGAGTTCTCAAATGCCGAACAAAACATTTAACATAAAGGTAATCAAATACAATCACAACAGTGCATAGTATTACATAATACTGTGTTGATATAGAACTTCTGAGATCTTTGAAGATACTTGTAACTAGTCACAACTCCTTACAGCATCACACACATAGGAATGAAAACTTTTACAAGGGATTTCCAGGTAGGTTTTCAATGTAATTTAAAAAAAGCAATAAAGTATTCTATTAATTCAATTGTACACACCACTTGCAAATTTTATTTCAGAAGACACATTCAAGTTTTCAATTAAAACTTCCTTGCTATTACAAATATGTATCTTGCTACTATGCATATGAAGGGGTGTCATCTGAAACAAATACCAATTAATAAAAATTAACATAATCCTTAACAAAAAAAAATCACCTATTACTTCTGCAACATTTAAAATATTCTACAGACATTTGCAAATGATGAGTAACCTTTACCTTAATTGGTCCAACATAGCAGGAGCCCTTAATTATTGAAATTGTTACTTGAGAGTCTTCTAACTGAGCTATTATATCTTCAGCTGATGAAATAATCATGATAGTTGAAGCTTCAAAATAGTGAGGAGATAAATGGAAATCAGTTTTGTTCCAAAGATCTATTATTTTATTCAGCATTATTTCAAGTGTAGCTTCATTTGTAGCAGTTATTGATATTTCATTTATTTCTTTCTTGTACTGGATCATCTAGAGTGAGAAAAAAAAACTGACTTAATATCTAGCAAGGTAAAAAAGTAACAATACAGGTGTTTTGGTAAATAGTTCAAATATACATATTTCTGCAAAATATATAAAATTCATATTTAATTTTCAGAAATGGAGCCTGATCAAACCTGTTTAAAGGTCAACTGTAAACAACCATATTTATGTATTGTGTTTTAAGAAGTTAAGAGTGGAATTCTATTTCCCTTTGCGTCCAAATGGCAGCTTTCTAGGCACATAAGTGGCATTTTTGCTACTTACACCCAGGCAACAATTTTACTTCACCTGAACTATTGCCACATAAAACTAAGCTTGCACAGGTAGGTTACTCATTGGCCACGCACATATGAACGTGAAATGGAGATGACTGCAGGTGTTAGATGGAGGATAAGGCCAGAAGCAGCCATTTATCATCCAGATTTGAGGCCCTGTTTGCTTGGAGCCCAGATTCAAGACATGGACAGAGAGACTGGCAGAGTTCATCTGTTCCTCAGACTAATACCCTTTCCTGCATACCCACATAGGTACCAATACTGCTTGGAATTATACTGAGTAAATTAGGCCTGAAGCTCTAGGTAGGAGGATTAATATATTTGGAGCACAGAAAATGTTCTCATAAATCCTGCCTGTTTATGATAAAGGCCAAAGTAGAAACCATCACATCATGGAGGTAAATATGGCTAAGGTGTTGTCAACATGAAGGCTTTGGATGTTGTGGTTCCATGGCTAAATAGCCAGGATGATCTCTTTACAGAAGATGGAAAGAAGGAAGACATGCTCAACAACTATTTGCCTCAGTCTCCCCCCATGAAAAATAAGCTTCAAACCAGACAATTAATTTAAAAAATTATATAAGCAAGGCTGGGTGGTCATGATAAACAAGAAAAAACAGAGTTTTTGACTGGTCTGAATGTGAGAGAGAGAGAAGGAGCCACCGTGCTCCAAAGCACACGGGCTAAACAAAGGCTCAGCGACCCTAGGTCCACAGCCCCAAGAAGCCCGGCAGAAATCTCCCTTACCCAGGTGTTTTGGGAGGGAAGGGGCAGAGAACTCCCACGCGGGTATAAAGAAGAGCCCAGGACAGGAAAGAAGGAGGAGCGCAGAACCGGAAGGAGGAGGAGAAGCATGCCAGCACACGCTGCAGGGAACTCTGAAAGCAACATGGAGAGCTGGTAGGAGACTCTTGCAGAGAGTAAGCCCCACAGTGGGGACTTAGAACCAAGACTACTGACCCCGCCGGGCGCAGAACTGCTTGTTTACACACCGGGAGCTGGCAGAGCCCGACAGAGAGAATTGTACCATAATACCCCTAATAGAGGAGCACGTTAGATTTGGCGGTACCGTAAAGCATGTAAAAGTGGCACATACCAAAAAGATGGTGGCACAGATGGACTCAATGCACTAAAAGGAATTGTGGCAACCTCAACAAGAGGCCCAGAGAAAGAGAGAGAGAGACACCAAAGAGGGACTGACCTCACGGTCAGTTTGTTTTGATCTTGGCTAAAAACAGCAGGAACAACAACACAGGCCAGGAGTGCCTCTTTGTTTTCTTGTTTCCCTGTCTTTTGTTGCTTTTTTTATTGGAACCGAGGTCATGTTGCAAGACCAACTGGCTGGTCAGAACCCAGTGGAATGGGCGAGGGTGTAGGGGTGGCGGAGCCCTCAGGAACGTAGGACCCCGCAGGACAACGGTGAGACTACTAATGGGACTACACGTACAGGTAATGAACCAACTCCTTTAACATCAAGTCATGGCAGGCAAAACGTGGGCGTGTAGATCACCAATTAGAAACAGTAACACCCTAGTCGATCGGCAGGCGGTGTCCTACAGGTCTGCAAGTGACAGAGATACTTGACACTGAATGAATCAAAAGTCAGCAGGGCCTGATGAATTTCATCCCAGAATACTGAAGGAACTGGTAGACAGGGTCTCAAAGCACTTGGCAACAATTTTTTTTACCAAGTTATGGAAGACAAGCAAAGTACTGGAGGACTAAAAAGGAGCCAACATAGTGCCAACCTTTCAAAAAGGGCAAAAAGACCCAAGGAAGTATAGACCAGTTAATCAGACTTCAGTACTCAGAAGTTACTGAAGAATATTATAAAGTCCATTTGTAAGCATGTGAAGGAAGAAAATCTGATCACAACCAGCCTGCATAAATTTGTTAAGAACAAATCACGCCAAACAAGTTTGATTTCTTTCTTCAACAAGACAGCTGGTTGGGTGGATGAAGGGAATGCAGTGGATAAATGGTACTTGGATTTCAGTAAGGCTTTTGACAAAGTTTCACATGCATCTTTTAATAAAGAAATTGGAGAAACGTGGACCAGACAAAGCTACTATGAGCTGGATAAACAACTGGCTTCATAGCCATAAGCAATGATTAATTATATATGGATCCATGTTGGAATGGCAGGAGGTCTCCATTTGAGTCCCTCAGAGGCTTGTCTAGGATCCAGTGCTGTTCAACATGTTTATTAATTATTTGAATATTGGAATAGACAGCTTTCTGCACAAATCTGCAGATGAAATTGGGAAGACAGGAACAGAATTCATGAAGAGCTTAACACATTGGAAAACTGAGTTTCAGACAACAGGATGAAGTTTAATAAAGGCAAATGCAAGGTGGCATTTGATTATTCTTAGGAAGAATAATCAAAAGGACTAATACAGAATGGATGATAACTGGCTGGGTAGCAGCACTTGGGGTTCTGGGATTGCAGACTCAGCAATCTGATGCAACTTCAAAAAAGGTGAACAATTTTGGGCTGAATTAACAAGACTATAAAGTGTATAACATGGGAGGTGACTAGTACTAATCTACTCAGTCCTGGTTAAGTATTGTGTGCAGTTCTGGGTTCCACATTTTAAAAAGAGCATGCAAAGAAATTAAAGAGGATCTTAAAGGGGGCAACATATAGTGATAAAAGATTTGGAAGAAAGCCATAAAAGACAAGAGGTTGAAAGAAAAGAACATGCTTATCTTACAACAAAGGCCATTGAAAGGGCACACGATAGCAGCCTTTAAATATCTGAAGTGCTGCCAAAAGAAAAGGAAGAACAACTTTTCTCCCTTGCTGCAGAGAGCTGGACACCTAGCAGTGGTTTGAAGTATTTAATAGCTCCTTCCTATAGTTGCAGGCGTAGGACATGGACAATGCCCCTCACCCCTTTGCTTTACCTGTGGCAAGTTAGAGTGTCTTTGATGGTTTAAGCATTGTGCCCATTGGTCTGCAAGAGGGCTGTTTGTGAAGCTTAAGTACAGATTATATTAGGAGTGTCAAATTCATCCAGCTGCCTGGGATTGCGATGCAAGCCCCATATCAGACCCACATACAGGCCCCATGCACCAGTCACAGCACAGGGCTGGTCCAGCATGGGCAACTAATGTAGCACATATCCTGGACCAGCCCTGTGCACTGCAGTCAATGTGTGCTGGCACTGGCCTTCAGCTTGCATGTGGAGCTGCCATGGAATGTGCACTGCATGAGCTGTGCATACCAGACCAGTCTGGCATGCTGGCTCCAGTGCTTGGGGCTGGTATGTGGGCCTGATCAGGACTGGCCCTGGAGCCAGTGAACAGGGGTGGTCTGGTGGGGCACTGCATGCAGCATATACCCCACATTGGCCTGCTTTGGTGTATGTAGCACATGTGAACTAGCCAGGCATGCCACATGCAACACAGCAGCCCCATGCTGCAAGACCCACAGATGGGATCCTAGGGATTCACAGGCCAGATCTACCACATAGGGGATATGTCTACACATGCATTTGATATGGGACCAGTTTACTTGTGAATAAACTACCCACACATAAATGCTCCCGAGCAGGCATCTACATGTGCAGGGTTGTGGCTGTTCCTGCTTCCTGAGGTCCCCAGGCCCTTCCTGGGGCCCCGCTTACCGCTGCCACACTCCCACCACTGCTAGCACTGCCGTGCCCCACCAGCTGCCAGGGGCACGTGTCGTACATGGTGGTCCTGCTCCTCCTCAATCAGGGACCCTGCCTTCCTGCTCTTCCCCTACCTCATGTAGGCTTACACTGGCCACTTGGACCCCTGCCAGGCACACTTCAACTGGTGCCTGGGCCAGAACTGTGCCCAGGTGGAGTGCACTTTCAGGTGCCTCAAGGGACACTGGAGCATTCTCACTGCCCACCTTGAGCTTAGCAGACAACATTCCCTGGGTCATTGTCACAGTCTGTGTGCTGCATAACATCTGTGAGGCTTGGGGAGAGCTCTTTTGTGAGGCCTGGACAGAGAAGTTACACAAGGGGGAGGATGCCTGACAGTGGGAGCACCAGCTGTGGCAGCAGTGACAACAGTGGGACTGGGTACCCACTGAGGCCCCTGGCAAACTGCACACCCACCCCTGGGGGCCAGGGCACTGGCTGCAACAGGCACAGGCCACAGGTTCACATGCTGCAGCAAATCCAGCAGCCAGCGTGCTTACCCAGGACAACAGCAGCCACTGGTCCCGGCACTGGTGGCTCCCCCTCTGGCAGCTGGTGACTGGCTACTGCACAGTAAAATGTCTCGTTTAGATGCAACCAGGCTGTATTTTTGATATGACTGGGTTAGAGAAACACTTGTCTAAGATGGTTTAGATAAGGATGATCCTGCCTTGAGCAGAGGGTTGCACTGGATGACCCTTGGAGGTCCCTTCCAACTATCCAAAGTAGGGATAGAAAAGTGCCTATGTTTTGTGATTCTATGAACATACTAATCCTTTAGACCCAATGGTTGAACAGTTAGGGCACTGGCCCAGGAAGCTAGGGATCTGCGTTCTAGCCTTCCCTTGCATAGAAGGGGTTTTTGTCTGCATGTCTCCGACACATCACACCACAGGTTAGGTTTTATGTAGCCCCCTCTCCAGCACTCCTTATCAAGTCAAACCACTGCACTTTGCATTGGATAAAATGAATGGATAGCAATGCAGTGGAGAAGAGCAAGGATCCAAATTAAAAGCTATGGTCTGCTCCCTTCCACAGCAACATAAGATACTATTGAGCTACAAACCATCTAGCTTGATTTTTATCTCCTGGCCTCCCTTTTCTCCCTCTCCTGGCTGCCTGGGGGAGGTAGGGGGTAGCTTCAACAGAAACACTAGAGAGGGTTTTTAATAGAAGATGAGACATTAGGATTCTATATTTTGCAGCACAAGTATATGCATCAGACACTGATTTTAATATAAATTAATGCATCATATACTTACATTGAGTTCCAAAACATTATCCAAGGTAATCTTTTTATCCCAAGAAATTGATTGTCCAGTAATACGTTGTATAATTTCCCAATGCCTTTGCTGAAGATGTGGACTTTTTAAAAACATAATGACAGACAAGACTTCTTTAAAATTAATTAATGACTGCTTCAGATCTGTTATTATATTATTTTCTGGTAAACCTTGAAAAATAATATGAAACATTTATAGAACATCAGACTATGAATTCCATTTGCATAAGCTAATATTGTCAGTAATGTAACTCAGAGGGACAGTCCAAGACAGCACCCCCAATTGCTATCTCTGCAGGTAGGAGGGGGACTCTACATCCTGCTTGCCATCAAACAACTTCAAGGGAAACAGATTATTCCAACTTTTCTCTGAGCCTAATCTGCATAAAACGAGCTGTTCCAAACAGGAGATTTTACCACACCTTCAACTCTCCTATGAAATATGAACTTTCATTTCTACCTAGGAGAACTTTTACAATCTTTTCTCCTATGCCTGAAGAAGAGTGCTTGGGCTTGAAAGCCTGCAAATTTATTTTTTTTTTGCAAAAATCCAGTTTAATAAAAGATATCACCTCTACCATGCATTCGGATTCCTTTTGCCTCTAGACCAATACGGCTACAACCTGGATACCTTACCTATTCAATGGCTTGTATCTCATAATAATTTGATTTTGAAGAATAAGAAAACAGCAAAGATACACTAAAATAAACAGAATAATTCTCTTTGATCCAGAATGACTTGGATAAACTGGAGAAATGATCAAAAAAATTAGTCAGATGAAGTTCAACAAGGACTAGTGCACTTCGGATGGAATAATTGCATCCAAAAATACAGACTGGGTAATGATGGCTATGCTGCAGTACTCCTGAGAACTATCTGGGGATTTACAGTACAGCAGAAGATGAATATGAGCCAACAGTGTGCTCTTGTCGCAAAATAATCAACATTATACTGGGTTGCATTAATAGAAATGTCTCTTGCAAACCAAGGGAAGTGATTCTTCTGCTTTATTCAGCACTAGTGAGGCCCCACCTGGGACTAGTATGTCCATTTTTCGGTCCCACACTTCAAAAGATTTTTGGACAGATTGGAAGGAGTCCAATAGAAAGTAATAAAAATGATTAAAGGTCTGAGAAACATGATTTATGAGGAAAGGCTAAAAGAACTAAGTTTATTTAGTTTGGAGAAGAGAAGGTCAAGGGGGAATTTGTCTTCAAATTACTGAGGGGCAATTCTAAAGAGGATTGAGATAGAATTTTCTACATGGCTCTTGGGGAAAGAACTAGGAACAATGGCCTCAAGCTGCAGCAGAGGAAATCTAGGGTATTAAGAACAATTTTTTGACTATGAGATTGGTTAAGCACTGAAATAGGATACTTAGGGACATTGTGGAATCTTCATCCCTGGACATTTTCAACAGTAGGTTAGGCAGACATTTGACTAGGATGGTTTAGTCAGGGACAACCCTGCTTGAGCACAGAGTTGGACTAGATGACCGTGTAAGGTTCCTTCCAGCCCTATTGTCCTGTGATCCCAATTTATACCAACTGTGGATGTGGCTCTGATTTTCTGTACATTCATTTTGCTTCCCTAAGTATATCTATGGATGTCTACAAGTCTGAAACTAAATTTTTGGTAATATCTTTTACTGGACCACAGCATAACTGGGAGAGATGTTATACACATTTTCAGGAACTGAATGCCCCATCAGGCCCAGCAGTTTAGGAACATGGCTGGGCACCTGGGGCAAAGTGAAGCAGCAACTTCCAGTTCAAGATCACAAATGTGCAACACCAGAGCAGCTGCATTTTTTTGCCTGCTCCTTGCTACATCACTGCTCAGGTCATCCCACACTGGAACTGACAGAAAAGATCAAAGAGCTACCTGAGGAGGATCAGACCTTTGACAGCAAGGTAACAGTTTTTCTTTTCTTGGATACTTGGAATGGCCAATAAAAATGATATTTTATATTTTGATTATTTTTGGTGTATGCATGGGTTATATAACAAAAAACCCTTGTGTCTCAGATTTTCTGAATGATCATGAATACAACACTCGAACCATATTACAAATCTCAAGCAACTAGCAATTTTCATGTTTTTACCTTTTTCTAGTATCTGTGTTATCTGTATAAATCTGCTAACTTCCATTTGTATTAAATCTACATCAAGGTTCTCAAAAAGGGTGCATTTCCACCTAAAAGAAAGCTTTGCCCATTCCTCAAGTGAATCCCACAATAGTTTTCGCAAAGTTAATTCATCTTCAATCTCAGAAAGCTCTGTGGTGACTCTCTGAGCACTTGAATCACCAGCTTGACTCTTCTGTGACATCTTTTCCAAGGATGCTGTTCTCATGTCAGCAATTGCATTGTAGAAGAAATCCTGGTACTTAACATAACTTCGGGTTTTGCTATAAATGACTGCAGCTTCTTCCACAAGATTTTGGATCATTTCTTTAGCTGTCTTAGGCAGTGTTTCACTGAGGAGGAGGACCGGGTTTCTAACCTAGGCAGCGTAAAAATGGGACAGAATAAGTTCTGAAACTATCGAAGTACCAAGTCTTGCACCGCTAATAATTTTTTTTACATTAAAACAATTGGTTAAAACAATTTGTAAGAGGGGCACATAAGTAAGTATCTGAAAAGATATATTACTTATGACTTCCAGGCTTTTTACCATATTGTTCTGTTATAGCTTCTTCTACTATGCATATGTGCTTTAAATTTAAAATTTCAGGCTTCTTAGGAAGAAAATGATACCAAAAAAAAGGGTTTTTTTAATTCTCTAAATACTAAAGATGTATGAGATTCTTGATTTTTCAGAAGAGGTTTCCATTTTC